GAGCGTAAATGCTACTAGTAACTTTGATTTATTTATTTATACACTTATTTATTTGTTGATTCATTCATCTTTTTTTTTTCTTTGCTTCCTTTTGGCTGAAAAAAGTCTCTTTGACTAAAAATAAGTCTTTTCTTTGTTGTTTAAAACAGTCAGACCACTGTCGCTGTTTCTGTATTTTCATGCTACCAAACAGCGCAAGGATTGAAAAAACAGTTCATTTCAACCAATGATTTTTTTTTTTTGATTTCACGTCCTGCAAGTACCAGTAGTTTTCGAAAAAGATTATTTCTCCTGTTACTTGTTTAGTTTGATGAAGAGCACTGCTGGGTCGTTTTTAGAAATTTTTCTAATTGAAATCAGTCCGTAAGTGTATGATGATTAATCGATATTAACTTCGCTCGTGTTTTTGTACAACCACTGTTTTATCGTTTGGCACATCGTTCGCAGTGAGCATCGGTAGCGAGGCAAATGGGTAACGCACCGACCCAAATACAATTGTTTGTCTGCCACTGTTTGCACTTATATGCAATTAAGAAAGTAGTAGGCGAGTCCCAAACGCGTCTGCACCGCTGGTTTGCTTGGCTTTAGATGTTTCATTAACGCGCTTGTAGCTGACAGAGACGTTGACGGTAGCGAAGTCAATTTTGGCTTCTATTGGTTTATTAGTAAGAGTAGGGTTCGCGGAACACGCTAGTTTGTTGTATTTTCCATGAGACTGGTTGCTGATGTTCTATCCCACGGCAAATCACTGACAGTTTGATATATATACAGACGTTGTGCCGCTTAACTAGACGACCTTGACGACTGTCTCATCTTTATTCAGTGTACATCCCTTAACTTTTTTATCTCTCCGAAGTCCTTCCTTTTTTCCACTTCTTTACACTGTTATTTATTGCGATATGATGTTAGCTTATAAGGAAGATGCACACTGAAACGAACTAAACATTATTGGTTTGTAGCATTGAAAAGATATTTTCTGAAGAAAAGTGCTTACTGTCTGATTGTTAATGATATGCGTCTTTTTTTTGATTTTTAGACACGTTTGGTTTTTTTCCTTGATAGTAATCGTTTTCCCTTTTGCAAGTTATGTAGATTATTAATTTTTATACAATTTGCATCCGGACTTACGGTTAAAAAGATAACATCTTTTAGAAGCGTATTATTTATAGTTTCCATTTACCGGCTTTTAATATTTTAGCAACATTAACTCTTTTATAAATTAATTTTACAGTTAATATAAGGATTTCTTTTTTATGTGTGAAACGGACGCTTTGCGTGGCGCTTCCCCATTAATACTATTGTTAAACAGCAGCGTCAAACCATATCTTTTATTAACTTGGCAGGTTAGTACGTTTAGGCGCAGTCTGAATTCTTGCAGAATGCTGATCTAACGCCACAGTTGCTTGGTGACGGCAGGGCAGCCGGAAAGGCATTATACATCACTAGTCCTTGCCAACACTTTAGCAGTCGTATCAGCTTGGTAGTATCAGCTAGCGTTCTTTATCGCACTAGTGAGTTACACTTCTCTTTTTTGTCCCGTTATGCCCTCTTCCTCTCTGCCATTACCTCTTCCAAATGCTTTGTTATAACGCGCCCTGCAAAGCATTGTACTTTGGTTTTTCTGCCAACTTTAGCTCATTATCTCATTTTAATTCGGTGATAACAAGAGCCTTCTACTTTTGTTAAGTCTCAGATGCAGCGGCAAAGAGTTATATAATGCTGAATAAAGTGAACCTCACTGTATCACCGTTGCGGACAAAAGCTGGTTGTAGTGAAGAAGGCTTTCTAAATCGATTTGATTGTTAGATTTTAGTTAATCGACCTTTTTTGCAGTTACATTCGGAACTTTTCGATCTGTTTAATTCGCTGTTCTGAAAGTGTCAGTTCGGTTTTCTGCAAATTTTACTTCTTTCTTTCGCCCTGATTATTTACTGTAGCACTTTTTTGTCATTATCTGTATCAAGCATATTACCATTAAAAGAATTGTATTTTTGGATTTTCACAGGGAAGGAGAAGAGCAGGTTTATTAAGCAACTCGTAGATTATTAATGTTATTGTGTCAGTTGAGGAAGTTTCACTATTAATTTTACAACAGTAAATTATTTTTCCCTAACTGACATTTAGGGTTTTATACTTTTGGTAGCCTCATATCTTTTTTTTTCTTTCTTAACAACGCTCGTCGTTGTTAGGGGCTGAGCAGTTTTTGAAAAATGAAACCGTTGTTTTGATGTTTGTTTACCTTTCTGGTGTGCGAGCAAAGATTCTTGTATGGCGGAAACCGTTTTACCGTAGTGGTTTAAACCGAAGAAAAGTCGTAACGAAGTTCTGGTAGGCAAGCCTGCAGAGCGGTCACTGTCGTATTTCATACAAAAAAAAGACGTGCCACCAAGCGACGTTTAAATGTTGTGTTTTTTCCTCAGCACTCATTGCCAAATTGTTTTTGGAAATGTACTATGTTGAATTCATATGATGTTTTTGACGTTGTTGTTTTATTGCAGCTTTGACAACTTATTCGTGAAGATATTATAGTTTGGTTGGTTTTGTGATTATGTAATAATAATTTAACTCGATTTCCAAAATATTTTGTTTCAGTATTGTCGATGGCCGTTGATGAAACGAAATTGCCTCTCTCGGCGACTGGTAAAGCATCTCAGCACCAATCAAAGGAAGATGGCGATATTACAGAGGTAGGTTTTATTCTTGTACTGCCAAAAAATTTCGTTAATCCAGACCAAAAAGGTGATGAAAGAAACTTATAAATCTTTTTGCATTAACAGGATTTAGTTCAAATGGAACTAGTACAGCCTATTATTGGACTTACGAAAGAACAGCTGAAAAAGTATCAGAACGATCCGTTCTGGAAGTCTTTAAGGTTCTTTCTACGGATCTTTTTCAAAGAACTTTATTGCAAGTTCTTCGGCATTTATTAAAAGTAATGGATTTGGTTTCTAGGTTATTTATGTTTGTTTTATTCTGGCTGATTTGGATAGCGATGTTTGTCGGAGCTGTTCTTATTGTGGTGCTCAGTCCGAAATGTGTTCCAAAAGCTGAACATGAATGGTGGCGTACAAAGATCAGCTATCAGGTACAATAATTTCTCATGCATTTTTTGTTTCGCTGGCCTCCTGTTTTATAGAATAAAATGGACTACTGTTGTGAAGTTATGTGTTCAGAAGATGAGGTTGTAGTTCTAGAATTTTAGAATCTAAGTGCTTTTCTAAAATTACGAGAACATTTTGTTAAAATAGAAAGAATTTCTGATGGATTTTATGATTATGGAATTTGGTTTTTACACTGCACAGCGATGTTTTTAAAATTTAACTTATTGTAATGTTATGGAATCACAGATATTCACTCCATCTTTCCGAGATTCAAGCGGGGATGGTGTTGGCGACTTCAAAGGAATAGCAGAAAAGTTGGAAGAGATTCGCAAAATTGGAATTCAAAATGTTTGGGCAACTCCTGTCATAACTACAGACAAGGTCGCTACATGTATTTCTTTTTTTTTTTTGTGCGACCTACCATTTTCACTTCAAAAAAAAAGCTCAAAGCCTTGTTAGTTGTTATATTAAATACCTTTCGACGACGTCTAGCGGCTTCATGTTTTTCAGGACGACTTTGAGCCATTTGATGTAGTGGACTTTGACCAAACCGATGAACGTTATGGTACCATGGAGGATTTTAAGAACCTTATAAAACAAGTTCATCGCAAAAACATGCACTTTGTCATGGATTTTCCCATTTCTACGACGTCACGGAAACACGCTTGGTTGGTTTTTTTTTCGTTTGATACTGTAGCAGTTTGTCGTAGTGTTACCAGTCACTTGCGAAGACTTTACTGGTATTGCTAGCATTAACGTTTCATTCTAGGTTTGTTAAAGCGTCGGGAGGTGATGAAGAGTATAAGAACTTTTACATTTGGAAGAATAGTGATTTGGTTAAGGGAGATCCAAGTTTCGAAATATTAGATGGTTCCAACGAGTCGTTTATGGTTTATGAACGAAAGAACCCCGTCTTAAATTGGCTTAATGATAAAGTCAGAACAATCGTTACAGATGCGGCCAAAAAGTATTTGGATTTGGGGGTGGACGGCTTCCACATTGGTTATGTAAACCAACTGGGGAAAGATAATATCACTGTTTCAAATGTGAGAAAAGTTACATTATTCTTGTTTCTTTACTAGTAGGGAAATGATCTGTTAATGCAGTAGATAAAAATGATGTTATCAAGAAGCATTGTGATATTGTTGATTGTCTGTGTGGCATTTTAGCTGCAAGCTTTTCAGGCAAAAGAAGCGTTGAAGGCTCTTGAATTCTTTAAGACACAATTGGAGGTTTATGCTAGTGCTTCTGAGAAACTGAAAGGCAAAAAAATTGTCGTTTTTGCTTCTCTGGATGACATAACTCAATTAAAGGGTTATGAAAGTTATCAGGTAGAGGATCTTAATATCACAAGCATTGAATATCTCTTGGATGGCTCTGGCAAAACACTCAATATGGTAATTTTATTTATTTGATTTCTGTTGCAAAAGTTCCACAAAATGTGAGAGTAATATTGTTAATTTATTTATAATTCAGAAGACTTGTGAGGAGGGCATTCCAAAGTGCGTGTATAAAATGCTGAACCAGTCTCTTAGACGTTTCCAAATAAGCGACAGGCCAGTCGCATGGCAGTTTTCGGACTACCGCGTTTCGAGACTAAACTCTCGTTTTAATGATTCACTAGGTGACTTGATGACTTTTTTGCAATTAACCTTGCCCGGTGCTGTAGAAATTTATTATGGTCAAGAAATTGGTATGAAAGATGCTGAGAAAACTACTAGAAGGTATACTGGTTTGATGCAGTGGGATGCAAGTGAGAAAGCGGGTTTTACCGCAGAAACTGATTTGGACCTATTTTTTGGATTAACAGCAGACTGGCAAACTGTAAACTATAAGGTGATTTTTTCTTGCTGAACTGTAGTGGTAAACCTGTTGTAACTCCTGTAAGACACCACACAGCTGTGACAAAAATTTTCAGGTTGAGTATGGGAAAAAACACTCTCCTCTTAAGGTTTTTAAAATCTTAGCTAAGTTGCGTCAAATGGATGAGGCACTTTTACTTGGAGAGATGAATTTGGGTGACTTGAAGGATGGTGTGGTCAAGTTCAACAGAAGGCAGAGTGAAATGCCGACAAGCTCCGTAAGTAGTGTTTTTTACGAATACAAACGGTTGAAAAAATTTATTGTCGTTGTTGAAATCCTTTTACTTCTCATGACTGCAATGAAATGATTCTCCCTTGCACTATGAGAGGAGAGGAGAAAATAAAAGAATTTGATAAATTTTGTACTTTGGATTCCTGCTGACTGCCTTGTTTCCAGGTTTATCTAGTAGCTGCTAACTTCGGGGACTCTGAAAGTGATGCTGGGCTGACATCTGTTGTACCACTCGATGCCACCAGCAAGAGGGCCGAAGTGATTGTTACAACTGCGGGATTTGACATTTACGCGGCAAAGCAAGTACTGGATCTTGATACAGTTGAACTCAAGTTGCCAGCGCATCATGGGATCTTGATGAAGATGATTTGAACCTTATTGTTAGAAAGAATTTTGGACCTGGAGTTGTTTTGGAATTTACATCATAAATTTTTGTTTGCGTAGACTTTGGCAAAAAGTAATCGTGGAGGACCTTTTGCGTAAGGTAAAACAGTTTCCTTGGCTGCGGTACAAGTAGCGCCTTCTGTTTTCTGCCTTCAAACTAATTAGAAGGCCAATATTTTTAGCGTACACTGAGTGGGGGATAAAATACTGTTTACCAGTTACTATTAACATACTGCTGAGCCTTGGTTAAATGATTTGCTGAGTTTCCATGCAGTTTTCTGTTCTGTTAAACAATCTGGTAGTACAAGAGGGAAAAATAACTACAATTAAAGTGAATGAGCCTTTTAAGCATTTTGAGAGTAATTTGGCGGGAACTAAGAGCAAAAGTTGCGGGTCACTGAAATGATAGTCTATTGTAGTTCATATTTTATGCAATCCCGTCAGAAATGTTCGCAGCAGAAATATAATTGACAAAGATTTATCTCACGAGCAAGCCCTCCAACAAATATCCTACCGGCACAGTCCCGCTCTTCGAATCTGTATACCAATAACATTTGGGGAGTAGATGTAAAACAAAAGTGAACGTAACTTGTAAGCTGAACACATGACGACACCACATATAACGGCTGAGGGTTACCGGAATCGAAGCTTCCTTTGTATTTTCAAGGTGTCCGTCAGCTTTTCTTTTCCTGCTTTGAACAAGAAACGTAAACGCTTAACTTGTTGACAAACATAAAGTTGCTAGTGATATAACAGCTACAATATCTTGATCTCTTCATCGCTCAACCGTTTTGGACGATTCTGCTAAAAACCTCACCTCAGTTGAAGAAATTTACTATTTACAAGTTCTATTCGTCAATGTGACGGAAAAACGTACTACAAGTCGACGCAACTATTTGACATCATTCATATATAAATATATATAGTCCGTTTCATTTCCAATTTGGTGTGAAAATTTTTGTGAGCAGAGAAGCCCTCTTCTGGAGGAATTTCAACGGTTTTGGCTCAATGCCACTGTGTATTAAAAAGGCAGCCGGGTGTTATCTGACTAATTTCTATAAAAGTGTCATTAACTTTTGAGTTCTGTGCATGACGTATTGTTAATGTCTTTCCGTTTGTAGATGTTCAGCCTTTTTGTATTCCAAATTTCTCGCTGTTTGGTCCGCTTTCTGCCGAGATATTGCTGGATACGTCGAAGGATTTTTATTTTTAAATGTTACTTTGTAACTCATTAACTATTGTAATTTTGTTTGTATCCGTAGAAATTTCTTATTTTTTTGTTAATAAGGGGCAGACATCGTAGATAACAAATATCTGGAAAAAAACGGGGGTTTGCCGAGCAATAATGTAGAAAAAACTGTTTTAATGAAATAACTAAAGAAACGCGATTTTTTAATAT